GGGGCCAGAGGGGCTCCCGGGAACACGGAGCGGGGCTCGCGGAGCCCCCACCAACGAACAGTCCCAGGGCTCGCTCCTCCTCTGCACCCCCGGGGAAGGAGAGCCTGGAGAGGCGAGAGTCCGGGGAATTGTCCCAGTCTCTTCTGAGTGCTGCCTTCAGGGAGAAAGCTCCGGAACTTGAGGTAAGAGCGATCTCTCTCTCTCTCTCTCTCTCTCTCTCTCCCCCCCCCTCTCCTTTCCTCTCTCCCTCCCTCTCTTCCCCTCCCACTCTCCCTCTTTCCTCCCTCTTCCACCTACCACTTTTCCCACTTTTCCACTAGATTTCCTAAACACTCAGCTCACAACAGGACTCTCCAAGCCAGACCTGGAGCTCACCCCCTCCCACCCTCCATCCTTCTGTGCAGTCCTGAGCTGGTGGCGGCTGCAAGGAAGTGTGGAAACCCTTCCACGCAGGACGGCCCTCCAGAGAACACGGCTGAGGCGCTGGGAGAGCCCACATTCTCTCTCAGAGCTGACCTCAGTCAGAGCCTGTGACCCGAGGGGCCCTCAGGAGGGGGGGCCTGGCCCCCCACTGGTCACCCCCACTCTGAACTGCTGGGGTGAAAGCAGAGTAAAGTTGCCTTGGGGTGAAGACCAAGATCAAACTACCAAGAAATCCCTCACACCTGCGCGGCCTCCAGAGCCCCCTGGCTGGAGGTGTACACAAGGCATTGCCTAGTATTATTAAAATAATCAAACAGTCACTGAGGACCCACAGGGTTTTCATCCCTCTGTGCTCCTCTCCTGCCCTCTCCTCTTTGAAATGCGCTGTGTCTGTGTCGAGGGTGACTTGAAGAGGTCAGAAGAACCCTAAACACCGTCAGTGGGTCCCCTCCTAGCAGACCCAGAGTGGGTCGCCCTAGTGTTGGACCTTCAACTGAAGGTCAGAGGTCCCGGCCAGGTGCCTGCTCCTGCACCTTTGGGTTCTGTTCTTTTCCTGGGCTCTGATGGGGACCGAGGCCTTCGAGCTAAGGTCTGGAGATGGAGATGAAGGGAGGAGAAATGTCCCGAGACTGGCAGTGAGAAAACCCGGGGAGAAAACCAACCCTCGACCTTCCAGGTTTGTTTTCAAACAGACCTCGGCCAAGGCGATTTCGCGTTGTTTGTGGAAACATCTTTACTTCCAAAATGTCAGCTGGGGGCCTCCGGGCTTGCTAAAGAGGGGTCCAGGATGGGGACCAAGATCAAAACAAGTATGGAAAACAAGCATGGTGGCAAAAGGAGCCCAAATCTCCACCTCTCTGGTAGAAGGAAGGGGAAATCCAGAAAGACCACTCCAATCCCTTTAAATTCACAGAGATTTGGTGGATGAAATTAATTCCCATAAATAATCTGCAAACCTTTCCTGAGAGGGAAACTCTGGACTCCCCCAAGTAATAGCCAGCCAGATTCGCTTAGCTCCTGGAGACAGTGCCTCGAGATGGCCACCAAGCAAAACTGGGATTATTAAACAGAGAAGGGGCACAATCTGTCCTTCCCAGGTGATTCCTGAGCTCCATATGCTAAAGTGTATTAGTCCCGTTTTTCTCAGGAGCAGCAGCAAGGCAGGGTGACGGCATTCAGTAGGAGGCCGGGGTCCTGGGACTGGGGACACACGAAGAGAGAGCACTTAGTTCTCTGGGCCTACACTCACCTCCAAAAATCTCACCTCTTCTTTCCAGCGCAGAATCCAGGAGTGCACCTTGCTGAGGCAGGGGCTTCAGGGCTTGAAAGGACCCCAGAAGCGACCCCCTTCTTATGCTAGGCTTCTCTCCAAAGTCTGTCCAGAGGAGCACAGTACCTCCCAGCTCGCAGTTGGCTTGTGGTCTCCAACAAATTAAATATTACTGTTTATTACCAGGCATACCCCAATAAAATAAAGAGGCAACCAGGCGATACCGACTATCTCACCAGCCGCTGCACCTATAGGACTTGGAGACGTCACGAGTCACGCAACCGGCCAGCGCGGTCACGCTTGACTTGGGGGGCAGCAGCGGGAGGTTCACATCTCGGTCTTCGTCCATCAATCCCGATCTGCACAGCCACAAGTGCAGGACGCCTTGGCCCTGGGGAATAAATAAAGAAATAAACAAACCCAGAGCTCTCTGGGGAGAAATGGGAGTGGTGAACATAAAGACACAAATAAAGCCAAGATCGGTTTTCTAGGAGCAGAGGAGAGGAGGGGGCATTTAGCAAGATAGGTGGGCACCCACCTCGGCCTCCCCTGGAAAGAAATCGAGTTGTTCTGAGGAATGAGACCTCCCGCTAGAGGCAAAGGTTTCTTGTTATTAAAAAAAAATTTTTTTTTCCCTGAAGGGGATCTCAGCTCTCAGCAAATACACGTGGAGCGTTTCTCCGGGGGCTGTGTTTGGGATGGGATAACCGCGCGCCCAATTGCAGGACAGCCCAAAGTAATTACTGGGTGTCGAGGAGGGGAAACGAGACAGAAGTTCCCAGGGAGATTGCCGGAGATGTTTCTTGCAGACAGAAAAGGCCATTGCGAGGAGGCTCCTTTGACCGGGTCCGGGATGCGGTTTGTTCCAGAGTGGCCCGGCGGGGGTGGGGACGAGCGGGTGACGGAGCGAGGGTGGGGTTGCAAAGCAGTGATTTCTGCATAGAAAAATTACAGCGTCCGGTCCCGCAGAGGGACGAGGCATTCAAGATTGCTCTGTGATAACAACGGCAGTCATTTCTAGTCTGAACAGAGAGCACAGTTTCTAGGCCCGGTGGCTGTGCGCAAGCTTTCGCGCGCCATTGGAGTCCGCTCTGCCGAGTTGCGAAACCGCGGAGACGCCGCTGGCGACGCGGAGGGAAGAGCTGGGCCTGCCCTGCGCTGAGCCGGGGCGCCGGCCTCCGGGAAGGGTAAGTTCCCCGCCCGCCCAGGGGCCCCGAGGGAGCCAGGCCTCTGGATCTGGACTTGTCCCCGGTTTCGGGGTTCGATTCTGGGCTTGCGCGCCGCCGGCCCCCAGGG